ATGCATATGTTAAATCAATACAGATGATAGGGATTGAACTTAAATTCCTGTGAGTCATACACACAATATTAACATATGCTAAATCGAAAGTTCGTTGGCAATTTCATATTTAAAGTTATTTAAAATTCACCATCAAATAATTAAACAAACAAATGAGTTTGTAAACTAACCATAAATATATTTATCAAAATTCATGTTTTTAAACGTATATTAAAAAAAACAAAAAAGTAAAGGAAATATAGAATTGGGTACATAAGTTTTTTGTGATAGATGCCTATTTTTCTTTACCACTATTCAAAAACTAATTTTCTTTACCATTTTGCAAGCTTAAAATGTTATTTTCCTTCTTCTAACACTCTAATCTAATCCTACTAAAATAAGGAGAATTCGAGTATAACAAAAAAAATCACTATAGTGATCAATCATCCTTTTAAAGATAATTTAATATAATCATAATTATAAAATCAAGATAAATAAGTATGAGTTAAATTTACGAAATATAGTTGACAACACCCTCCTTGCTCAAGAACAGGTGAGAGGTTATGGAAGGAAAATTATATGTCCAAGACGTGCCTTGAAATTGACTTACACAAGGCTTTTGACACTCTACACTGGGGTTTCATTTCTGCTATGCTTTAGGCTCTACAACTTCCTAGTACTTTCATTGGTTGGATTGAAACCTGCTTTAAAGAAGCAAGATACTCCATCTCTTTCAATGGAAGCTTGATTGGCTTTTTCAAGGGTGCAAGGGGAATAAGACAAGGTGACCCTCTATCTCCTATCTTATTTGTTCTTGCAATAAATGTGCTCTCTACAATCCTTAACATGGCTGCTGCGAAAGGCTTGTTCGGATACCATCCTAAATGTAAGAAGATCGGCCTCACTCACCTTTCTTTTGTAGATGACCTACTTACCTTCTGTAAAGGAAATATTGAATTTGTTTTTGGAGTCATCAGTTTCTTCGACCAATTCTATGAAATGTCTAGGCTAAAACTTAATGCTGTCAAATGTGAACTTTATACTGCTGGAATCACTTTTATAAATCTTGAGCATATTTTACATTCCACGGGATTCAAACATGGCTGCTTGCCAGTGAGATACTTAGGGGTTCCTTTAGTCACAAGGAAACTCACTGAAAAGGACTCTGTGGTTCTTATTGAAAAGATCAAATCCAAGCTACATCACTGGTCGGGAAAGCACTTGAGCTATACTGGCAAATTAGAACTTATCAGAGTTGTCTTCTTTATTATTGCAAACTACTGGTGCAAACAATTAATTATGCCTCAAACTATTAATTATGCCTCAGACTATTATTAACAGGATTGAACAACTTTGCTCTAGATTTTTCTGGAAGGGTCTGATAAGGCCACCTCTGGAGCCAGAGTTAGCTAGAAGAAAATATGCCTAACGAAATCTAAAGGAGGACTCGACTTAAAAGATATTAAAACATGGAACAAAGCATGTATGATACAACTTATCAAGAACATCCTTGCGGGAGGGATCATTGTGGGTAGCTTGGATCAAAAGTTACGTTATTAAAGAGACAAACTTTCTGTTGGTGGAAGATATAGCAAATTCTAGCTGGTGTATCAGGCGCTTAAACTAAGGGCAATTGCAATCCCTGTTTTATCTGCAGGAGTGGACTCTGAGAGATGGGACTAGTATCGATTTTTGGAACAACGCATGGCTCGAGAATTTAAGACCTCTAATCGATTACTATAACGCCCATCAGGATTTTCCGATTAGAGGACATATGGTGAATACTATGATAGATGTACCAGAGAATGGGACTGGAATCGTTTACAGGATTGCCTCCTAGAGTTGGTTCATCATACGTTAATGGCCATACAACCGCCGCTAGCTAAAGGAGGAGCTGACATAGTGGGGTGGAAGGATTCTGAGAAGAGGAAATTCACTATAACTAGCGCATATAGGATGAGATCGGAGGAGACAAGGGATGAGCAGAATCGTCCATGGCGTCTATTGAAGGAGTATCGTGGGCTGTCGAGGGTTAAATCTCTCTTGTGGAAGATATTTCATGGCCGAATGCAATGGTGATCATATTGTGGTGCAATGGTGAAGGATGTCGAGCATATTTTCCGGGGTTGTCATCTGGCGAAAATAGCATACGAGGTGATCATAAAACCCAGTCTACTGCTGGCAAATATCTGGAATCCTAATCGTTATCCCATCGTCGAGGAATATTGGGATTTCATGTTTGGCTCAATGATTTGGTGTCTTTGGCAAAGGCGTAATATGTTAATTTCCGATTAGGAGTTCACGATTGGAGAAAGCATCATTGTTCAAAATCACCGACTTACGAAGGAAACAGTTAAAGCTTATCGGAAAAGGCTACAAAGCAAACCTGTTTTGGTGCAGTTAGCGAACCAGGTGATCAAGTGGGAAACGCCACTGAGTGGTTGGATAAAACTGAACACCGATGGTGCACGGCATCCTTCATCCGGAGTTGCAACGTGTGGTGGTGTAATTAGGGATGAACAAGCTATCTGACTAGCGGGGTTCTGACTAGCGGGGTTCATTCGGATTATTGGTCTTTGTTCGACTATAGAAGCGGAGCTCTGGGGAATCTATATGGGGCTGAGTTTGGCGTGGAAGATGAATTATGGAAGAGTTGTTATTGAATTGGATTGCAAAGAAGCCATCGCTGCTATCCAAGGCATTCCTCAACGTGAGGGGAGTTTCATCGATGATTCGGCATATACAGGACTTAATTCAGAGATAACGGCAACTGCATTTCCAGTTTGCTCCAAGGGAGTGTAATCGAGTTGCAGATAGATTAGCGCACCTTGCTCGGGATGGGAACCTGGATGATCGAGAGCTGCTTGAGCCACTGGTGGAGGTAACGAGCTTACTTTTGGAGGATGAGCAGGCAGCAGTGAACTGTTAAGCCTTTTTCATTAGTTTTCCCTGTAATTCAAATATATATATATTGGCTAGGTGCTTGAAGTTTATAACTTTTGGGGAAAAAATATTTAGTATATTTTCTTCAACAAATTTAAACATTTTTTTCAAAAGCTGTAGGGGTTTGAGCCTACAATATTTAGTATATTTTTATTAGTTTAAGGATACTAATAACTACTAGGAATCATTAATAATTTTTAATGCATGGAAGAAACAATTTTTAATGTGTTTCATGAATAATATGAAGTCATGTTTATCCAATTTTAGTTTTAAAAGTCATATTATTGTATCAAATCCATCCAAATAATAAACAATAAAATATGCATTGTAGATCAAATAAAAAAGGGTAAAGTACACAAATGGTCCCTCAACAATAGGATATTGTTTTATTAAGTTCATTGACTGTTAAAAGTTACAAAATGATCCTTCGATTATAGACTATTACTTTTTTAAGTCCATCGACTATTAAAAGTTACAAAATATTCTTAAATATTCATTATGTTCAAAACTCTTCATTTTTTGTTAAAAGATTGTTGATTGTCTAAGCTGGATGTTAATATGATGATTGGGATATGATAGTCGTTTAAGATTCTAGGATCAGATTTTATCCTATCACAGTCAACAGTTAATGTTCAGCTCAGAATATCATCAAATTTTTAACGGAAAAATACTAGTTCGGAACATAATGAATAATTGGGTGATCATTTTGTAACTTTTAACATTCAAGGGACTCAACAAAGCAACAATCTAAGTCAAAGGACCATTTTGTAAATTTTTAATAGTAGAGGGATTTAATAAAGTAGTACCCTATAGGGAGGCCATTTGTCTACTAAAAGAAATCAATAGATAATAAATTTCCTACGCGTTCGATGTACGAGTCAAAATCAGAAGACATTTTAACCCATACTTGATAACAATATAATCATTTCATCATTATAATTTACTTAAATTCTAATACATCGTTTTAAGAATTTATAAATGATTTTTAATATTGGGTCAGAATAATAAGTCTATGATCAATTTAAGCCAATCGACAATCACCTAGAATGATTTCTTTTAGACAACTTATTGCAATACATAAGTACGCAAGGATTGTTACAATATTGCAATACACGAGTTAATTTAATTGAATGATTATTTATTACTGTTTTGATAGGATAAGGATTAAGATTCGAAAATCATTAATAATATTATTTATTTTTTAAACAATTGTAATTTTTTTGATATCAGAATATATTATATTATGTTTGTAGTTTAAATATTAAGGTTATAAATAAAAATAAAATAAATTTATTGATAGAACCGATTAGATTGTAGTGATTATATACAGTTTATTTCTTTTGATTTAAAAGAAAAACTATAACTATGGAGGCCAATCGTGGTTCGATGCTAAAATTCTATGAAGAAGATATATAACATGAATTGGGGAGAATGTATGATAAAGTTATATAATTAATTATTAATATTTTTAAATAATTTCTAATTAGGAGGAGGGAAAAAATTACTCTAATTAAGCCTTGTACAACCAAATAAATTGTGGTATGTTTCAAATAAAATTAAAACAAAAATCAACTAATTAAAATAAAAAAATCTTACCAATAAACAAATATAAATAATTTTTACTTGTTCACATTGTACTAGAGTTAAAAAGAGTAATATAATTATATTATATTCAGCAAATTTTGCCGAGTGTTTGCGTGTTTGACTTTGATATACGCTACAATCCAGCTCGAGTTAGATTCCTGTAGTCATTGTTTAGTATTTTCCATGTCCCTTTTATTATATATTGCCTGTCAATGTACCTAATTGGGAAAATATAGAACAATAAATTCTCCAATTTCTACCACATGCATGCATGTTCTTAAAAAATGATTTATCTGGCCGCTTTCGGAAACATTTAAACCGCGTTTGAACGTCAATGGCCTCGTAGATTATACTGATAATATTAAACCAAAGTTAATTCGGTTTTCATTTTAAACGTGATCTTAATCACAAGTAGCAGTAATCCTCCTGTATAAAAGCAGCAAGTTTTCCTGCAAATCACACTCACAGAGCTAAAGGAGAAAAGAGATATGAAAATGGCTACCATTACGATTTTGCTAATCTGTTCCATCGTGCTTAATCTGTTGCTATTTGCTAGCATCTACTATCATGGCGGATGGGGGGGAAGCTGGACTGAAACTGCAGCTGCGCAAGCTAAGTTTGTGGCATCAATTTCATGTTCAGGACACGGGAGAACTTTCTTGGATGGATCAATCCTTGATGGAAAACCTGTTTGTGAGTGCAATGCTTGCTATGCAGGCCCTCACTGCTCTGTTTTGTTACCGGGATATAGGTAATCGATCGACCGCACCGCTCTTTTAGTTCAGTTGCGGATGATTAATGTGATTGACGTTGTATTGGTAAATCGTAACTCATTTGTTGCAGTGGAGATCCTATGTTCTTGGAGCCCTTCTGGGTGAATCATGCTGCTAGTAGCACCATCGTGGTTCCCGGATGGCATCGGATGAGCTACGAATTCAACAATGGCTCACTCCTCTTGAAACAACTCGAATCCGAAATCCGTAGACTTCATGCAGTTGTCAGAAACGCGGTGACCGATGGAAGATACATCGTAATCGGTGGCGGTGCTACTCAACTTCTTCATGCGGCCATGCATTCCCTCTCCGACTAACGATCGATTTTCACCGTCAAGAGTCGTCGCATCGAACCCATACTATCCGGTACAATCCACGCCCTCTCACTCTAATAAATTATTATGGCTCGGAATTGAATTGTCATAATCAGGTGATTTATGCTACAGTTTTACAGGGAGCAAACTGAGTTTTTCAACTCCAAGAATTACAAGTTCGAAGGAGATACATTACTGTACAACAACAAAAGCGTTTCTCGAGGGAATTTCATCGAGCTTGTGACTTCACCTAACAATCCGGATGGAAATTAAAGAAGGCAGTACTTCGAGGTCCATCGGTGAAGACAATCTACGATCTTGCATACTATTGGCCACATTATACACCAGTGCCAACTCCATCAGATGAAGATCTCATGATATTCACTCTCTCCAAACATACTGGCCATGGCGGAAGCAGATTTGGGTAACAATATTTTCCATTGTTTTCTTTCCTTAAAGCATTGATTTTGGTTTCCATGCTTAAGCATGCCCTTTGTTTCCATCAGATGGGCAATTATAAAAGACGAGGCTGTGTATCAAAGGATGCTTACATATGAGTCTAAGTTCCTATGGGGTTCCTCGAGAGACTCAGCTTCGAGTTCTGAAGCTGCTAAAAGTTGCCATTGAAAAACAAGGAAAGGAAATGTTTAACTTCGGATACAAAACAATGAAGAAATCGATGGATAAAGTTGCGCAGAACCATGTTAACGTCTAAGCAGTTTTCAATCCAGGAACTTGAGCCTCAAAACTGCTCTTTCGCACAGAAAGTTAGAGAACCGTCTCCAGGTAATTATTCACTCTCTTCATATCATAAGTCCTGGATTTAGACAACGAAAATTAGTTGTGATAACGATTATCTTGTGCTTTGATGTGCAGCTTTTGCATGGCTCAAGTGTGAAAGAGAGGAAGATCAAGATTGCAAAGCAGTGCTCAACTCAATCAATATAACTGGACGTCATGGTAGCTTGTTCGGTGCTAAAAGCAGATATGTACGGCTTAGCCTGATGAAAAGCGAAGATGACTTCGATTTGATGCTGAAAAGGATGAAAATGTTTGTTTCCCAGGAAAATAATGATGCTGGTGATTGAGAGATCGTGATCCGAATTTCATTTGCTCCGGTCCAAAATATTTATAGGACAGTAAAAATATTTTGAGACAAAAATGTAAATATATGAGTATCCATAGGAAATAGAGTTTTTGCATTAAAAATAGTATTTTAAATACTAGAGTCGAGTTAGAAGTTAAGGTTGAGTTGTGAATTAGTTTAAGGTCTAGTTAGAATCGGTTAAAAGTTGTTGGGTTAGTTATTGGTTAATCATCGAGTTATAAAAGCATCATTGTAATAGGGTTATTGTATTGAATTCATTTTTGACCAGTTAATAAACAAACCAAATTCATTCTTTCTAACAACCTAACCCTGGTTATCATGAATTGTTCCTCTTTAGGGACTCATTATCACAAAAATAAGGATATCATATTGTTATGCAAAATAACAATCCAAGATGAAATCTAACTTGAGAAAATAAAATAAAATAGAAACTTCTTGAAGACAAGATAAAAATATATAGAAATTAAAATATCCTTTTATTTTGATCTTTTGATCGAAAACAGATGCGGCTTGTCGCTACATAATTTCTTTAAGACATATTTTCGGCCACTCCTTTAGTGCTCAATTTCGTTGGTCGTTTGTCTCCCAAGATACAACAACTAGATCAGTTACAGTACCACAATTGCAGAGATCACGAATTATCTTTGCCTTCATCTATCACCGAAAAACTAGTGGAAGAAAATAGGATTTTTCTTTCAAGTTCTTGACTTCTAATATATCAAAACTTGTTCTGAATTGTCACTTGTAAAACTTGTGTTTAACCTAGCAGATTAACTTAGTATTTATAAGGGATTTTCAGGAGAGATTTACTTCCAATAGATATCTTTAATATCCAAATTTAAATAAATAATAATATATTTTCATTTGAAAAAAATGAAAAGATAGACGCATTTTACTATTCAAACTTAAATAGATATTATTTTAATTTAAAATATTCAAAAGCATCTATTTATCTTTAATATTCAAAGTTAAATAGATAATAAACACCTTTTAATTTGACATATTCAAAACATAATTATCATACTAATATTCAAATTAAAAATATCTTTTAATTTGTAATAGTTAAAAGGAAATGAATTTAATTTAAATATTAATTCCTTCAATGAAATTCACTCTTTTTCCAACAACACTCGCATGAATGAAATTGATGATATTTTGACACGATGTCGTGATAGACTTTACTATCGATAGTTGTATAGGATAGGTAGATGTCTTCCTTTGAACATTCCCTTGTGAAAGTATATTTACTTTAGTGGCTAAACAGTAGATATGATGTCCTTGAATTAAACTGTCTTTTATGTAAAAGATGATATACTTCACACAACTACTCTTCTGATAAGAATTTCATTTCTAATGGGTATGTCCTTAAAGTCATGAACACCGTCTGGTTCTACAAGAGTTTGAAAGAACTATGCCTAATAGTCTCCTTGAAGCTTCTCTACTTCACTCTCACAAGGTGACTTATGTTAGTTGTCTTACCGCAACACACAATGGTCATTAAAAGCTTTTATTAGTCTATACCACTTTGATCATTATTTATATCATATGAACAAACTTGGAATGAGAGACCCCCATAGTGGCCATACACGATTTATGCAATTAGGTTGTCCCTTTAAACCTATATCTTGGGATCTGCAGTCAACAAGGTAGGGTTTTCCTTTACATAATACCTTTAAATTTCATGGGCTTTTGTCCAATTCCTTTAGATAATTTCTCAACATGATATCAATATAACCTTTTGGTTAGAGAATCCGCAATTACATACTTTGATATTACAAAATTAACAGAGATAATTGAAGACACCAGATTTTGTCCTGCCAACCGAGGAGTCTTCATATAACCAAAAAAGAAGAGTTGGATTAGGACTTAAATACTAGTCTAAAATAGAGTTGGATTAGGACTCAAATACTAGTCTAAAATAGGGTTTTTTAGTACTATAAATAAGCCTTGTAATTACCACACCAGGGGACACGATTATCATACGGGATTACGCACACACAAAAAATACCCAAAGCAAATATGCAATAAGCCCCAAAGATTCGCTTGTAATTTTCAACAGAGAAATAAAAGAGGTATTTTTACCTATATTTTCGATTCTCGCTTGCATGTGGCTTGTTTCACTTCTTCTGTTCCGTTTTTACTTTGAAAGGGCCGATGAACACAAGGGAACCGAGATCTTTTCTCTTAGATCTACGCTTCCCCGAGGCTTATTTTGAAAAACTGGTTTGATTTTCAGTTAAAGGAGGGGAATAGCTTTTTAAAAATCTATATTAGTCCCTTTATTTATTATGGATTTTTATTATTTTTATTATTCATGTTATCATACGTATATATATTTTAAATTATTTTCATTTGATTTTTTACTATATTTTATTATTATTATATATATATATATATATATATATATATATATATATATATAATATTTTACTTATAAGTCTATTATTACTATATATATTGTAATTATCTTTATCTAGTTATATGTATTTTTTATATTTTAATAGTTTATTTATATACCTATTATTAATATATATATTCTTAATTATTTTTATTGATTATTTCTTTATTTACGTAATATATCTTCTAACTTTATATATATATATATATATATATATATATATATTATTTTTATTATTTTCATTTTTTTATTCATTATTATAATATTTTTAAAAAATCTTGTGTCTTTATCATTATTATTATTAAACATTATATTATATACTACTAACTTAGAGGGCCCATTTTTTTGTTTTATTTCTAACTAAAGTCTCTCCCACTTTCCTCTTTTTGTCTTATTTCTGACTAAAGCCCCCCACTTTCGGTGAAATGAGAGGGTATCTTTTCTATTTTTAAATATTTGTTGTATATATATATATAGCTTATTTATTGTATTAATACTTTGATATATATATATATATATATATATATATATATATATTATCCTTTTCAAATATTACTATATATAATTATTAATTTACTATTTTTTCCTTATCTTATTTATTTATTTTATTTTATTTATTTTTTTCCTTTTATTTTATTCTCTTTATCTTATTTATTTTCTTTACCTTGTTTATCTAACACATTTCTCGATTTTTTAAGGATATTTTCAAATCAATCTAAGGTAAGTAATCATGATCAAATTTTACCTTTTTATTTAAAATTACAATTTTCTTAATTTAAGACAACTGAAAATTATGTGGTACCGAAAGGGCGGTTCAAGGGTGCTAATCCTTCCTTGACCGTAACCGACTCCCAAACTCGACACGTTTCTGGTACAACGCAGATCAGGTAAAATGGTGTCCGACCCACCTAAATTCGTTTTAAAGTGGTCGGCGGTGACTCCAATCCACATTTTCCTAAGTCGAAGCCCAATTCCAGGGCCCAACCGAAAGACGGTTACGACAGCTTGGCGACTCCGCTGGGGACAAATAAGCGAGTCAGACTAAGGTAATTCCCAGTTGTCTTTTTAATGAAAAGGGTAAGTTTAAATTTTAAGGTAACATTTCGATCCTTATTGCTTACTTTTGGTTATATTTTTCCGAGTAAATAGTTGACTGACCGTTTTCTAATGATTACAGCTTCCAGAACTTTTTTTTCATCTAAAGGCTCTATACCCGAACTCCGAACCCGTTTTAAGTGGGGGGTGAAAGCGACACATTCATGTGAATTTATTCACCGCATATGCCTAGCAAGTAGCCTTCGTGATTCATATACCTTGTGTCTTCGTGTGAATTTATTCTCCACATAGACATAAGGGAATGTGTCCTCTCGAGTTTAACTTAGTCCACACAAACCTGTGATGGGTTTATAACTAAGGGTCTGGCAAGCCCAAGGAGGCACTGACAAGGAAAACTTGGGTACCGTTTTTTAGAACCTAAACCGAAGACTATAGAGAATT